CGCCCGCCGCTCGCCGCCAACGGCGGGGTTTGTGAGCGCTGCTCGCGGGCAGGTTGGTGGCGGGAGCGGCGGCACCGCGCCGGTGTCGCGGTGTGCCCGCGGCCGGCGGGTCGTGCGTTTAAAATAGAAATATAATTTAAATATATTTAAGTGGAATTCGTGGGGACAGGCCGCCGGGCGCTCGCACGGTGGCGGTGACATCGCGGTGTGCCGTCGTTGCGGGTTCAGAGGTTCCTCCGCCGATTTGGGGGAGTTTGGGGACATTTTATTATTACAGAAAATACCCAACAAAACCAACAGAAAGCAGAGAGAACATTTAAGTGTCTATATATTTTTATTTTTCGTTCCGGGCATTGAGGTGGATTTTCTCGTGCCTGTGAAATCCGCCCCTCTGCCCAGTCCCTAATGAGTTCATTAGAGGCAATCAGAGCGGGACAATTAGGGACGCGCGGTGACCAAGTGTAAACTCAAAGTGTCGGGGGAAGCTGCTGCGAATTGTTCTGTTCCACCCGGGAGAAGCGTGGGTCTGCCGGCCGAAGGAACCGAGGTGGGAAACCAGCGATTTCCCCGCTCCGCAGGGGAAAAAATAAAATAAATCAGATTATATCTATAATCAAAAATAGCGCTGCAAAATCGATCCGAGCCCGAAAAGACCGAGATAAGGTCGGAATGAATTTGCTGTCACCTCGCTCGGGCTCCTTCCCGCCGCCTCCCCCGAGCCTGGCCGCTGCCGCTGCGATTCCTGAGCGGTGATTTTGGGGTTTCTTACACTGTAATTTTGCCTTGTCCTCCTTGCAATTTGTGCGGTTTCGTAAGGCTTTAAACAAAGATATTTTTTCCCCCAAAGTCGGGCTGGGATTTTGGCCGGCTGCTGGGATCCAGGGTCCCTTTCCCGCTCGCGGCTCCGGCCGTGGGAACCCGGCGGGGCTGTTAATTACCGGAGATTTTCTTAATAAGAAAGGAAACGATTTATGTGATAACTAAGGGGAGGGAAAAAAAATTAAATTATGAGGCAGCTCCTCTACAAGGAGGGATGGTTAAAAATTATCTGCGATGGAAAAATTCATTGGGGAGTTTCTCCGGGAGCTTCACAATTTTTATTCAGTTTTGACGGAAATAATTTTGAATGTTCGGGGAGGGTTTCATCCACCGAGAAAATGTCCGAGGTATTTTCTTTGGGAAAACAAATAGGGAATTCAGCGAGATAAAATTATACATTTCATGTAAATGTATGACCATAAGAGAAAACTTTTTTTTTTTTTCTGGAATCATTTGAGAACGACTTCACACTTTTATGTTCGGTTTTCAAATAAATCACATTTTTCGCAACAACTTGGGCTGTGTCTCAGCGTACACAAGTACATGGGATTTATTTAACGATATAAGTTTATAAAATGCTGGAATTTTATAAAAGAGAGCTTGGGTAAAGCCACTCCTGCGGTGTCGCAGTGCTGTCCCTTCCTAGAAGCCTGGAGAAATATCCTTGGTGGAATCTTACCTCTCCTCGGCTGAAAACTTTACCGAACTGAATTTCTGCAGAACCCCCAGAAGCAGCCAAAGTTCTTTGCTTGCTGCAGCTGGGCACCGAGCAGAGACCCAACCAGCGGGCTCGGAACAGCCCAAAATTCGAACGGCTTGGAGAAAACAAAGTAAAATTTCAGCATTATGAAAAATACGGGGGCAGCGCGGGGAAAGGAGCCCCTTCGAGGAGGAGAGCGGGAGGCGCTTGGGAATGCGGGATTCCCCCGCGGGGCTCCCCTCGCCCGGTTCTCCGGGGGAGCCGCCGGTTTTCCTCTCGCAGCCTTTACCGGCAGCGGAGCGTTCGCAGCGCTCGGGGCGCCCCGGGGGCCGCTCCCGGGGCCGCTCCCGGTGTCATTCCCGGGGCCGCACCGGGACAGCTGCGGGGCCCTTCGCGGTGTCGCTCGGGGGCCATTCCCGGTCTGTTCCCGGGCCGTTCCCGGTGTCACTCCGGGGCCATTCCCAGGGTCGTTCCCGGTGCCGCTCCGGGACCATTCTCGGGCTATTCCCGGTGTCCTTCCCGGTGCCACTCGGGGACCGTTCCCGGGCTATTCCCGGTGTCATTCCCGGGCTGTTCCCAAGCCGTTCCCGGTGTCATTCCCGGGGCCGTTCACGGGCCATTCCTGTGCTGTTCCCGGGACCGTTCCCGGGCCATTCCCGTGCCATTCCCAGAGTGTTCCCGGTGCCGCTCCCGGGCTATTCCCGGTGCCGTTCCCGGGCTATTCCCGGTGCCGCTCCCGGGCCCGCTCCGCTCTCACCTGCCCGCGGGGGCTCCGCGCGGCGTGTGTCGCCCCCCAGGGGACACCGCGAGGACTGCAGCGCTCCCCGGCACCGCCCGGCGCGGGGACAGACAGAGGGACGGGGACAGACAGAGGGACGGGGAGAGGACACAGGGACAGGATGGGGACAGGAGAGGCTGAGCAGGAAAAGAGGGAGAAGCGTGGGACAGAGGATGGCGGTGGGAGCAACGGAGAGAGAGGGTGAGTGGAGAAAATGAGTGGGCAAAGGGAGAGGAGAAGTAGGGAGGAAACAAGGAAGGAAACAGGGAAGGAAGGAAACAAGGAAACAAGGAAGGAAGGAAACAAGGAAGGAAACAAGGAAACAAGGAAACAAGGAAACAAGGAAGGAAGGAAGGAAGCCGTTCCCGGTGCCGCTCCGGGACCATTCTCGGGCTATTCCCGGTGTCCTTCCCGGTGCCACTCGGGGACCGTTCCCGGGCTATTCCCGGTGTCATTCCCGGGCTGTTCCCAAGCCGTTCCCGGTGTCATTCCCGGAAGGAAGGAAGGAAGGAAGGAAGGAAGGAAGGAAGGAAGGAAGGAAGGAAGGAAGGAAGGAAGGAAGGAAATTAAAGGAGTGAGAGGAGAGAAGGAGAGGAAGAAAAATATTGCGGAAGAAGGAGAAAGAATGAAAAAAAGAGGAAGACAGAAATAAAGGAAGAAAGAAGTAGAGGAAAAGCAAGATGGAAAGAGGAAGGAAAGGAAAAGGAAAAGGAAAAGGAAAAGGAAAAGGAAAAGGAAAAGGAAAAGGAAAGAGAAAGGAAAAGGGTGTCTGGCACCACTCCAGCCAGACCCCAAGATGGAAAGAGGAAGGAAAAGGAAAAGGAAAAGGAAAAGGAAAAGGAAAAGGAAAAGGAAAAGGAAAAGGAAAAGGAAAAGGAAAAGGAAAAGGAAAGAGAAAGGAAAAGGGTGTCTGGCACCACTCCAGCCAGACCCATGGGTGCCCATGATTTTCTCCCGGTTTAGCACCCGGAGGGGCAGGAAGCTCTGGCTGCTCCATCCCAATTTTCCAGACATCGCTGGACAGCCTGGGCCAGCCCCACCTGCCTTGAGGTGCCTCCTTCCACATGGTTATTCCATAAACACAGACATTCACTCACACGTATCCACACGTATCATATCATATTATATTATATATTAAAATTTCCTATCTATATTACAAGTCCTGAGTCCTACAGCGTTCCACCAACAAGCTACAAAATTCCTCACTATCTTTGTCTTTGACAGTTTAAGGCTAAACTGTCCAATTAAGAAATGACACCTAAATTATTTCCACTTTCAACCCAGTAACTGATCACTCAAAGTCTCAATGTGGATTTTTCTGTCCAATTACAAACCACCCAAACCCATGAAGAATAAGATGAAGAAGAACAACCAGACACTGCCCTAAAACCTCCATCTCACCCCATATGTATTGCTATATTCCAAAACCTTGAACTCTGAGCTTTCTAACCTTAAAAAACTCTACGTTTTTAACCTTAAACTCACAGTTTTCCCCCCTGTGATATCACACACCCAAACTCCACACCCACAATCCCGGTGCTACCAATGAATTTTGGAAGCTCCTCCACAGCCTCAGGTCAAAGACAGAATTTCCTTGTGGGTCTTCAGCACAGAAAGTTTCAAATCCTCAGCATCCAGCAGAAAGGCTCGTCCCAGACCCACCAGCGCTCCAAAACTTCGATTTTTGGGTGCTTTATTGAGAAGGTGAAGCCTCACTGCAGCAGCCTGGCCAAGTGGAGTGTAAATATATAATATAATATAATATAATATAATATAATATAATATAATATAATATAATATAATATAATATAATATAATATAATATAATATAATATAATATAATTAATATAACATAACATAACATAACATAACATAACATAACATAACATAATATAATATAATATAATATAATATAATGTAAATATAATATAGTAAATATACTACAATATAATACACTACAATACAACATAATATAGTACAATATAATATAAATAATAGTAAATATACCAACTCTGAAGACATTTCCCCCACTCCCCAGCACGCTTTAAAATAAATCTTTATAAATTTAATTCCCCCTTTCATTGTTGCCCTGACCCCTCCATCCCGCTCGGGAATGTTGGGATTCTCAAACTCCTTTTTTTGAGGTGGCTTTAGTAGAATGTCCTAATTTTATGAATAATAAATTGTGCAAACACATAATTTATTATGCAATTAAAGGCGAGCAGGAAGACAACTTGCAGAGTTGGATATTGCTTTATTCACCACCGGCCAGTTTTAAAGGGAAAAGTCATTAATGTGAGGGATGGTTTTACAAAAAGCAGGGTGGGATTTCACCCCCAGCCACAAGACGTGGCGGAAGGCCCGTGATATTTGTAGAAAATCTCACATTAACGCGCCAGCACGCCTTTATTATGTTTAATTCCAGAAATAAACCGGGCCCTCAGGACCTTCCCTCACGGCGCTCCCGCCGCTCGGCCTTCGAGGCGTTTTGAGCCCTCAGCGCCGCCGTAGCCGAGGAGGCGTGGCTAACGCGGCGGTTCCGCCCCTCAGCGCTGCCAATGAGGGGGCGTGACTTAACTACAGTGACGTCACTATCTAAAGGGGCATACGTGAGGAGGGCGTGGTTGTGACGTCATAGCAGATGTACTAGGGGTGGGCGGGGCGTAGCTGACGTCACAGGCAAACGGGAGGGGTGGCGGTGACGTCACGGCGGGCGGGTGCGGGCGGCGATGGCGGTGACGTCACGGCGATGGCGGCCGCGGGCCGGGCGCTGCCCTCAGCGGGCCGCTCCAAGGGGGACATCCGGGAGAGGGTGTGGGAGCACCTGGAGGCCTCCGGCCTGGCCGACTTCCCGCGGCCCGTGCGCGGCCGCATCCCCAACTTCAAGGTACGGCGGCGGCCGGCGCTGGGCCGCGTCCTCCTGCCGCTGCTTCCCTCCCCGCGCTGCCCGGAGCGGCCCCCAGTGCCCTGCAGTGCTCCTCAGTGCTCCTCAGTGCCCCCGATGACCCTCAGTGCCCCCCAATTCCTCCCCCAGTGCCCCTCAGTGCCTCCCAGTGCTCCCTCAGTGCCTCCCAGTGCCCCCAGTAAACCCCCAGTGCCCTCCAGTGCCACCGGTGACCCTCAGTTCCCCTCAGTTCTCCCCCAGTGCTGCCCAGTTCCCATTCAGTGCTCCCCAATTCCCCCTCATTCCCCCCCAATGTCCCCTCAGTTGCCCCCGAGTGCCCCCTCATTCCCCCCAAGTGCCCTTAGCGCCCCCCAGTTCCCTTCAGTGCCCCCCAATCCCCCTCTCAGTGCCCCCCAGTGTCCCCCA